AAAGCTTGTCTCTAACTCAAACCTTGTTAAAGGAAACTAAAGCTGGACAGTAGAGGTGAACAACGAATACTTATTCAGGAAAGATTGCAACACTGAAAGAGAACCTGCTTTATGACTTGCTTTAATTCCAGACACAGACAGGTGGGAATCTACAGTCAATAAATACAGTGGGGAATCAGCAGACAAAAAAGCTACACAAAGGAATCATCTAAAATAATGGAGATTCAGATTAAACCAACTTAATGGGATCATGGGAGGAAAGAATATAAATGGACACTTAGGTTGAAAGTTCTGGTTAAACCAACTTAGTTAATTTGGCTCTTAATAATAAACCCCAAGGTCTAACAACAACAACAAAAGAGGTGAGTGTTGGGTCAAGGAAACAGTTTATCATTTTCCTTTCTGAGACTACATCAAGCCTGAAGACACAGCCAAAAGTTTTTTAAGGCTTCCAGAGATCCAGAGTGCATCCCAATAATGGAAACAACTTGAAATTTAATTTAAAGTACTATTATTTCCAACAGACGTTTAACAATTTCCTCAACTTGGGCACTAGCCTCTTGTCATGTTTTTAAGCCCTTTCTGTGTTTCTCTTCATCCCTTTTCTTATCTCGACTCTACTCATTCCACCTACAAATTCCCATCCAATTTTTGCTTAGAACATATTTTAAAGTAATACATATTTAATAAGCAATACATATTTAATAAGTAATACATATTTAATAAGTGACACAATATTATGCCAAGTGCTGTTACACTTAAATATAGACAGCAGCAGTGATGAATATTATTACATGTAGTACATGTGCAAAAAGAAGATAATAAATAAACAAATAAAATTAAACCATAGAATATACTCAACTTAAAGAAAGGAATTGGAAAATTAAACAGCAACAAAAATAGATAGGAAATTTAGAAAACGAGCTTATAACTGAAGTAAACCAAACCATACTGATAACTATATCTAATATACAAAACCCAAACACTCTCACAAAGAGTACTAACACAGGCAGCTTATCATGTTAACAGAAAGACTTGATACTGCCATGAAACTGAAGGGAAAAGGAATCTACAAAGCTATTATTTGAAAATAATAAAAAAAAAAAGATCCAACATTCCTTAAATAATGTAAATTTCCCTGAAAAACACAGCAATATAATAAGACTGCAATACAGTTCTCCAAATAGAACGTACTCAAAGCAGCATTCGAGGTGTTTAAGAAACAATCCTAAGTAAACCCAAGTACTAAATATATAAATTGACCTAAAAGAGAAGAAATGAAGATTGACTAAGCTCAGAGAAGGATTTTTTTATAAATGGACAGTAAACTATGCAATGTCCACTGTACATAGGTAATCGTGTGCTTTTTATCCTCTCTTCTACCAACAGGCCCCTAGGTTGACTCTATACACAGTGCCGCAGTAAACACAGGGGTGCAGGTACCTTCTTAACATCACGGCGTCTCTTCCTTTGAATATACACCCATCTGGATATATACCCACATGGGACTCCTGGATCATACAACACTTCTACATTTGAGGAAACTCCATACAATTATCCACAAGGGTTGCCCCTGATATACATATGATATTCTAATTTTTAAAACTGCCTTTCCAAATTAAAACTTACCACCAAATAATAACACAGAGCGAGCCAGCACACAAATTCAGGATTAGTTTTTACTTCAGTGTTAAAACTGAATGTGAGCTGCTTGTATATTTTTAAGTTGTTCCAAAGGGATTAGGAAGAGAGATGGAGGAAAAGCGTGAAAAGCAAAGCAAACACGCCAAGAAAGAAAGAAAACTAGAAGCAGAGGAAGGAAGAAAACAAAGGAAGGAAGGAGAGGAACTTTTTATTTGACCCTCATGTATCTCATATTGTCTGAAATTTTTTGCATTTGGTCTATTATAAGAAATATTTGATGATTTCTAATTTAGATTAATATCCAATAGAGAATACAGTTATCTTATTTGGGATACATGAACAAAAGCACTCTAATAATAACTCAAACCTAGAAATTATCAAAATGTCTATTAACAGATTGATAAAGAATCTGTATGCCAGGCAAATGGATACTAAACAAAAAGAGAGACTAAACTACAATCTCATGTAACAGTAAGAATGGCTCTAACAGTGTCGACAGAAAGAAAACAGCTAAAAAATAGGGCATAATTATGATTAAATTTACCTAAAGTTCAAATCTAGAGAAAATATTTTACAATATTAAAAATAGCAAAGTGGTCACAAAGATGTGGAAGTGATGAACAGATCACCAGGGCACTTTTATGCCTAAGTTTTCTTAGATTATGATTATCTAAGATATTTTAAATATCTGTGGTTTTTATTTTCTCTTCATAATTTTTTTTCAATTTCACTTTTAAATGCATCCATTGAACTTCTATAAGAAATTGTTATTTTTAGACATTTATTTTTTATTTCTTCTAAAATGCTTTCAATTGTAATTTTTTCAACAATCTTAGATTTATGGAAGAATTACAGTAGTATGGAGCATGTTTAGGTACCATTCCTCAAATATTAGTACCCTCTAAAACCAAGTTACATGTACCAAAAAATAAGAAATTGACATTGGTGGAATGCTAGCAGGTAAGCTATAGATTTCATTTAGATTTCACCTAGCTTGCCACAAATATGCTTTTCTGTTTCACCATCCAATGCATGATATCACATTGATTTTAGTGATTCACTGAGGGTTCCTATGACCAATGATTCTTCAATCTTTATGCTGTAACTATCTCCTTTCAAGTGTACTGGTTAAGTGTGTTGCTGAATGTGCTGAATGTTCCACAATTTGTGGTTGCCTGATGTTTTTTCATGCTTATAGTATGTTTAAATGGATGAAAATATCATATAAATGAAACCTATTTATTTCATAGTCATAAACTTTTGACTACTCCCTTATTCATGTATATATACAAACCTATTCATGTCAACTTCTCTGTACAGATTAAAATAAACATGAATCAAAAATGCTGGTTAATCAGCCTCTAATCCAGCACCAGAAGGCTGACTACAGCCTTTACCTCTTACTTATTTCTTACTTCTTATTCTTACAGTGGATTATCTTCTTCTCATTAAATATAATTAACTGACAGATTCAAGTCTAATTTACACACTTTTGTTAGAATTATTAATCTGCATTTTGAGAAATATATTTGCAAAAAGCAATACAGTGCTAACGTGCAGGTTTTTTTCCTTACACTATTCAGTGAAAATATTGTTTTCCAAAGCTACTATATCAGCACAATGTGTGTGTGAGTGTGTGAGTGTGTGTGTGTGTGTGTGTGTGTGTGTGTGTGTGTGTGTGTGTGTAAAGAAAGAATCAGAGGAAGGAGGAGAAGTGAAGGGGGGAGAGAGATTATCATATTTGTAATACAGTTATATTCATTCTGCCCTGGGATCTCCCAACATTCTGGCTAGCTTGCTTTTAAATTCTTTGTAATAACAAGCTCATCGATTTATAAATCAACTACTGCAATACTATACAGAACAGTTCCACATCCCCTTGATATCAATCATTATCCCTGCTCCTGTCAAATAAGTTTTCAATTGCTACAGTTTTGTCAGTTTCAGCTTATCTCACAAATACAAAGACACAACCTGTAGTTTTTGGCTATGGCTTCTTCCACTAAGTAAAACACATGTAAGATTTAGCTTCGTTGTTGTGTAATTCAATACTTTGGTAACTTTAATTTAATTCATATGTAACACTCTTTGTAAGCAGATATTATTGCACCTTGTGCGGCATGCCCTTAGTTAATCATGTTTAGCGCTGCATATTTACAACTAGAAGTTCTGCAGGATCTCTCTAGCTTTCTGTTTCAGATTTTAAGCTGTCAGATAAAGCTATTCATCAGTCATGCTGAGAGCACCCATGCACTGAGGAGTTAACACACACGGGGGGAGCCACTCAGTCAACAGGGGTGAGAGCCAACAGATACACCAGCCTATCAGAAACTCAGAGGGATGACTTTCGCAGGGGCATTCCAGATGGTTCTTCACAGGCTCCCAAGGTGTCTGAGTCCCAACTACCCAAAATGGCAATCAGCTAAGTAACAGACTTAAGCATGGTTCTGGATTATGTTTGCAACTTACTCTATTTTCTCGCCTTTCCCTCCTAGTATCAGCTCCCGTATAAAGCACTCACCCAGAGCTTTGTATCAGAACTTCATCTCTTCCAAAAGACTCTCAACTCTGCTACCGTCAGGATTCATTCCCTCTACTTTAACAACTTGTTATTACTCGGTGAAGTCCTCGCCTTCCACACTATTTTAATTAACAGTTTATCCTCTTTCCTTCCTTCGTTTGATAGCACTAATCACTACCTAACTACATTTGTATATTAATTCTGGTAGTATCAGTCAGAATATAAGTTTCACAAATGTAATGATTTTAATCTAATTTGCTTATTGTGTCTCTTGCACTTAAAAAGTTCTTAGCACATAGTGTGCACTAAATGAACAAACACTGAATAAAATTAATTTTCAAACAAGCTGATTCTGTTCACTATAAGAGCACTGAAAAATTAAATAATCTCAAAATCTAAATGGTAAATAAATCCAGTAGCAGTTTTCAAAATAAGGCTTCGTAGCCCCACCTCAGACGTCATATACAACATCACCATATTCATTAAATGTGTCTGATAATTCTGAATTTCCCGAGAATTCTAATGTATGTTATAACACCATCAATAATAAAAGACTATGCTCTGCTATAAAGCAGAAAATTTACAAGAAGTTAAAATATTTTCTTCTTAACATTTCTTATAAAACTAAATACAACACTCTTTTTCCATAACTGTTGTTAGGCTGTTCAGTTATTTTAAACACAGCAGTGTATACAACAGAAATACGTACAATCTAAGAAAGGTTTTTTTTTTTCCATATTGGGGTCTAATGTTTACTTTTTCGTAAATGTTCAGTATAATAAAGGAAAATTTCTTCTTTCAAATATGGGAATCATGACCATCACACTTTGATTACCTGGACACTGGATAAAGGACCACTCATAGTTCTTCTCTTTGGGACAAAGACTGGTGTCAAGAACCATCTCACTGCTATGCGTCCCCACAAACTTCATTGGTCCCCGTGACGATCCTTCAATGCAGTGTCCTCTTCCTGTGTTGCTAGGATCATTGCACCAGCCGCATCCAGGCTGCTCCAAACACTGTCCACAAGTTCTCAACCCAGAACAATTTTGAGCTGCATGGCAAGAACATTCATCGATAGATTACGTGGCTATAGAATTGTAAACAACAACAAAACTTGTCAGCTTAAAAGATTCTAAGATGTCACCTACGGTTAACACAAACCCTTGTGCAACAATATCTAAGAAATAGCAATTACTTGAAGCAAATAAACCACACCTATTAACAAAACACAGGGAAACTAAAACGGGAATGTAAAAAAGCATGGTAACTTTCACATGAGAAAATGCAGTCAGTCCTTGAAAAGACTCCAAGGAATTTCACTACAACCAGGACTTTTTGGGGAACTGATGCATCTGTGATGTTGTACCACTTAGTCATTCTCCTTTTGCTTAGAGCGGGTCTTCGACAAAAAATTTTGCACTTGAGTAGTGGACATCCAGTGTAATGATGACCCCTTCGCTGAGACTGCTGAGCTTCGTCCGTGTTGCTGTTCAAGGAAAACACAGTCCAAGATACTAGCAGTTTGCTGTTATGTGGTGGGCAACCTAAATGTTACCCAAACAGCCAAGCAGGGAACTCAAGAGCCTGACACTCTACCAGTCGTGGGGGTAACAGCACACTAACTTTCAAGGCTGCAGAACATCATCAGTCCTTTTAGAAAAGAAAATAGATATAAACTATGAGACTAGGCAAAGTCTACGAATGCTATGCTGTCACCCAAGGAAAAACTAGCTTCAGTTTGATATCATAGTAAAGACTGTTGTTACCTGACACTCACGATATTTCGTTCTTATTCAGAATATGCTACGTTGGCCTGAGACCTTTGTGATGACTTTATCACATCTTTGGAGATTAGTTTCTCCATGGACGACAGCAGTACACATACACAGGGCACCATAAGTGATGCCTTTTTACACATGCTAAAAATCTGAGATGCAAGAAAAAAGGCAGATCTCTGGCACTGTGATAGTCTTAACAACTTAGTTGTTATTCAGTATTTTAGTCTCAATGGAAACAAGAATGTGCCACAGATGAGTAAAAAACAAGAATGGCATAGTTTCTTGGTGCGCATCGTGATGCAAAATAATGGACTAAATAAAACAATCCATCAGTCATAATGTTTACTGCTATCAATCCTCTCACTGGGCACGGGAAAGGAAAGAGTAAGCACATCTCCAATGTTTTCCTTAGTAAGAAACAAAAAAGGAAAGTAACTCCGAGTCACCGAACAAGCCACTGATTTTAACCTTGTAGCCAAATAATGATAATAGTTGAGATGAAGCATCTTCTTGTGGAAATTTACACTTTCAACAATACACAGTCATAAGTAAGAGTTTACTTGAACTGTTTTTGATGAGCGGGCACTTAGTACAGTAATTAAGATGCTTCTTGGAGTACCTATGTCCTATATCAGATGCCAAGCGCACCATCCTGTTCCTAGGACCAGCTTCCTAATAGCTCACACCCTGAAGGAGGCAGATGAGGCTCTAGTTCATGGGTCCCTGCTGACCAGTCTCCCCTGGAATGAGATCTGAGCTCCTGGGCTCAGGCAGACTCAGTCCCCAACTGTTGCAGGCACTGGAAAGTGAACCAACAGATGCAAAGTGTGTGTCTGTACTGTTTCCTTTCTCTCTTTCTCATTCTCTGACTTTCAAATAAAATTAAAATAAAAAATGTCAGTTTAGGCATAAAAAGGTCTTTATATGACTTAACATGTCATGGTTGCTATTAGTTTTCTTGGTTTCATGTTTCTTTCTTGTATATGTGATTGTAACTAACCGATAGTAGTCTTGACCTGTTTATCCTAATTGGCCTCAAACTACATATTGTGTTACTATACAGCCAGTGGGCAATACCAGATTTTATATTAAAATCTTTACTAAAAAGATTCAAGATAAACATAGTTTTCTAATACATCTACAGCTTGTGGGCATTTTGTATGAAAAAATAAATGTTTTTTTAAAACTATCTGAAGGAAAGATATTCATTAAAATGTGCTTAAGATGAATTACAAACTAAACCTGAACTATTCCAAAATATTGCTTAAAACATTGCCCAAAAAAGCTGGGAAAATCTAAGGTTAAAGAATCCTGGGTTTCTTGGTGTAAGTGGATGACAAACCATTAATCTTCTAGTACTGTTTATCTAACAGATTTCAGGCTTTAATAACGTTACAAAATAGTGTGGTGTTCAGAGCAACAATGTACTCTCTTGGATTTAATTTTAGATATAAAACTACTGAGGAAGATAATGCTGGTTTTGTTTTTGCTCAACAGTGATAAGCAGCATGCATTGTTGAAAAATTAACAACAAATTCATTTTTTTAAGAATTTAATGGCTGCTCAAAAGCTGACACATTTTACTTTTTGTCCTTAAAAAAACACCACAACACAGTATATTACAGAAAAATTATGCAGTCATGCTATTGTTCCTACAATTGTGGATGGAATAGAAACTAATTCTGAAATAGTTATTAATATTGTTATTTCTTTTTATTTTGAAATCAAAATTGTAAAATATTCAAAATGGCATTTTAAATGTGAAAACTTGGAAACTCACATTGTGAGCAATTTTCACCAAATTTAAAAAGTGATTACCTCCCTTAACTGTCAAGAATAGTGTTGAAACTGAGCATGCACATAAAGCTATGTTTTAGACATTTTTAGCCTATTTTTCCCTTTTTACAAAAAGTAAATACAGAAAAATGTGAGATAAAATAATATATGGAGACACCCTCCATCAGCACACAGCCTGGGAGAGGAGCCTGACCCCCTGTCCTGTTTACTGATCAGCTCCCCCATATTCTCCGAGCAGGATCCATATCTAATATTTATGAGAACAACACTGGGTCTCACTCTATAGTTTTACCACCTAAATAACAATTTCTAAATAACATCTGCCTATTCTGGAACTTTATGTAAATGGAATCACAGTATGTCTTGTTTGAGAATGAACAAAGAGAATCAGAGGTCTAGTAAGTCCTGAAGACAGGAAAGTTGGAGGAACGAGCTGTGTTGAAGTCAACACTCTGAGGAAACCACCAAGGGCTCCTTCCCAGGGGACACAGAAACAGAACAGACTAAAAAAAAAAAAAAAAAAAGAGTGTATCTATAAAAGTTGCAAAGACAGAAGGAGTGCATGACGTAAATATAAGGCTAGGACACAGGAATCTGAAATGTGATGAAGACTGTCCAGACACAATTCCCTTAAAGAAACTGAAGCTGCTCCTGAATACCTTTCGACAACAACAAATAGGGGAGTTTCAGAAATACTGAACTCGAGGTGGCTGGCATTTTGTCTCCTATGACTGAACTGCTCTGCAGGTCCTTTGGGGAATGGCACAAATATACATTATTAAGTATACTAACTCATTTCAAACCCTGATCCCTTGGCCTTACTGAGTTACTTTGATATTTACAGCTAAAGAAATAGGGACCAGAAACAATCCTCCCATTTTGTTTGTGTCTTGTTCTAATCAAAGAGTCTTGGTATACATAACTTGAACACCAGCTACATTTCAGATGATTCTGGAGCTAACTGTGCTGGTGGAAGAGTAAACTCATATGTTCCCGAAATGTTCACTATGCAAAAAAAAAAGTCTATATCAATGGTAAGAGTAACAGTTCCCAATGAATGGAACATGAGTGAAAGGACTCAGTGTCAAAAACCAAGTAAATAACTTTCTGCTTTCCTGTTACAAATCTAAACAAATGAAATCATATCCAGGTCAAAGGGGTATTTTTCATGAGCCTCGGTGCCAGAGGATAGATTGTAGAAAAATAAACGAGTACCTTCCTTCCTTCCACCAGGCAGAAGCAGCATCACTTGGTCTCAACTCCCCGCAGGTCAGCAAGTGTTACCAGCAGTATTATCCATTTCCCTTGGCAATGTCACTCTGACATCAACTGACGCCATAAACAAGGCCATTCTCACAACCACTTGGTAGTCAGTATCAAAAACAGTCAAATGGATTCCCATTTTATAATCCTTACAAAAAATGAGACTACCAAGGGGAAGGATCTGCCTCCTGACACACAACTTAGAACAAGTATAGCACTGCCAAGACTGCATCCTGGATTTGCAGCCTATGTTAACCTGACCTCACCAAAATAAATAAATAAATAAATAAATTCAAATTGAGAAACCTGAAGAACAGCATTTGCAAATTCTTCAAAACTATCAAGCCATGTAAGCAAAATTAATCTTGATAAATTTATTAGACTGAGGGACACTGAAGTAGCACTGTAAAGTAGTGTGTGATCCTGGAGCTGAACACAATTGTGTCCACAAAATACACTGAGGAGTTTAGCATACAAATGTGGCAAATTATTTAAAACAATGTAATTACTAAAATTCAAAACCACAATATGATAGAAATCACAGGCAAAGAGCATTCATACGTTTCAAAACTATGCTTTCAAACTTTGTGCAAGTATTTTCCCTCATTTTCTAAATTCACAAATGCTTCATTCTTCTTTCCGTAATAGAAAAATTGATCCACACTGCTATTAAATAAAAAATACTTACGAGAGCAGGTAGCAGTTTGCCACTCGAGACACTGTCCATATGGAAAAGAGATTATATAAGCATTGGAATCAACGCATCGCTTCGTACTGCTGCACCACATACACTCCATGCCATTGCTTGTGCAGTTGGAACATGATGTCCTGAGGGAGCACGGCTTCTTGCATGGCCTTGCATTTTGATTTGGACTAACTTGAATAAATCAACAGATAATTATTATTTAATTTTAATTGCACTTTAATAATAGTGTATGGGTTTAATTTGTTTTATTGTTTAGGGACTGCTATAATTATATAACAAATTTCACCATAACATAAAAAGGTAAATGAAAATAAGCATAATTAGTCAATATAATTCAACTTATATTTGTATTTGAAAGTTTATAATTTCTTTACCATATTCTGGAAAATAAAAGATGATTTAAAAACTTATATATCACAGTAAAATCAATAACACCATTTTTCTAATAGCCGTTTATTATGCACAGCATTACTTACTTTCCAGCCACACTTTATCCACAAACATGCCATGTCTTATTAAAACAGATATCAGTGAAAATGTCTCTCACACAAAAAAATTAATACTCATCTTACCATAATAACTTCATATAATACAGATTATTTACTACAAAAATATAATTTTCCCCTACTAATTAAGGGAAAAAAAAACCTTTGGTAAAGGTGCGAGTAAACCAAGACCTCTGTACAGGGCAGAAGGAAATGTAAAATGGCACAGCCTTTTTTGGAAACCAACATGATTAGTCTGCAAAAGGATTAACACAAAGTTTCTTCCTGATTTAGCTGTTTCAGTTCTGTCAATATCTCCCAAATAAGTGAAACCAGGAATTCAAATACATATTTGAATTAGAAGCACTATTCCATAATCAGAAGGCAGAAGTAACTCAAGTGTCCATCAATAGTTAGACAGATTGCGATGTTTTCACACAATGAATTATTAATCAGCTATTAAATAAGAATGAAACTCCAACACACATCGCAACGTGGATGAATCTTCTCGACATTATCCCATTCACTTGAGATACTTAGTGCAAATTCATTGAGACAAAAAGTAGAATGTTGGAGATGAAAAGGGAATTGAGGAGTTATTATTTAAAGACAGTAGTGTTTCATTTTATAAAAAGAAAAAGGTGGTCTTGGAGGATGATGTAATGTTTGCAGCACAGTGTGAATATACTGAATTTCACTACCTGCACACTTAAAAATGATTAAGATGGTAAATTTTATGTGATATATTCTTGCCAAAAGCAAAGAAATATTTAAAAAGAAAAATAATCCCAGTCCTTTCTTACTCAACAAAGAGCTATTACAAAAGCTTTAATATGAATAGTTCCTTTTACTTGACAACCAAAATAATAAATCTATAAGATTATTAAGCCAATCATCTTAACAGCACATGTTTCTCTCAATTATCTTGAAAATAAAATAACTTAACAAGACTAGATTATACCTATACTATAAGAAACTATAACCATATATTGATAATACAAGTATTTCCATCAAAAACTAAAAACAGCATAAAAGATTAATAAGTTAATGCTGAGATCACCAAGTGGAACAAGTCGATAAAACGAATTTATATGAAGAGCAAGGAATTAGCATCAGTGGCAGAAAAGGGGATTAAGAAAGATCTTCAAAGAAATAGATATTGATGAAACTACTTACCAACAGGTTTTTCACAAACAAGCCCATCTGCCATAGACGTACAAGGATTAGCTTTTAAGCCTGCCACTGCAGCCCTTTCTAGATATGCACAGAATCCAGAATCATTTGGTTCACCAGGAAGCCACTGCAGTGTTGTGTTGGTAAAAGGAGACATGTCTTCCCAACCCCAGTAGGATATGTTGATCTTGCGCAAGCCTACCCAAGGCGCTACTTTCTGTAAACAATAAGAAAAAGAAATTAGATGAAAAACACTGCACCATATAACCACCTAGCAAGGAGTTTATCATCATTATAAACTACATTTAAGGGACTAGCACTGTGGCACAGCAAAGTAAGACTCCCATTCTAAGCCACATGTGCAACAGTTTGAATACTGGGGGCACCACTTCCTATTCATCTCTCTGATGCTGTACTAGAGAAAACAGTGGATGATGCCCAATGGGCGGAGGCACCTGCACTCACATGGTACACCCAGAAGAGGTTCTATGATCCCGACTTTGACCTGACTCAGCCCTAGCTACTGTGACCACGTAGGGAGTGAATCAATGGACAGAAGACCACCTCCTGCCCATAACTGCCTTTCAAATAAACAAAACAATCTTGAAAAATTATACTTGAAAATATACTGAAGTGCCCTTCTAATGACTTACAGTGTCTTAAGAATAATTAACAATTCTGAGATACTTTGGCGAATGATATAGGATACCATTTTAAAGATATATTTATTCTGAACTTGGCAGATTTTAAACAACCACGTTTAGTAGGTTAAGAATCTAAAGAAAAATTGCCATTATAGGCACTGGGAGAAACAGAAAACAAAATCAACACACAATATATACAGTACGTAGGTGATTTCAAAATAGCAGTTTCTAAAACGACTAAACTAAACTAGACTTGGAAGTAGGTGAAACTTTAAATAAATGTCACCCATTTGTATTAATAAAGGGGTTGAAAACAACTGAGGAAATTCAACTCCTCTGCCCAAAATGTAACAGTGCTTGACAAATGACTGCTTTTAGTGCCTTCATTAGTATTTCAAAACAGTCTTGAAATCAAAATATTTTTGTATTTATATACCCTGAACATTACTTCATTTTAAAATGTTACCCTTAAAATATGCCCCAAAATAATATCTTCTTGATCTGAGCTATTTTTAAAATTCTGTTTGATCATAAACACTTCTAACTTAACATGCAATAAGACACTAAGCTACCAAAGGTTTTACAATATGAAGACTAAAATGCCCAAAAATTCTACATCTTCTTTTTTTACATTACAAATGTCCAGGTAGAAAGCATAAATAGATGACCAAAGCTTTAGAGACTTATAAAATGTAAAAATGCAGTGAATTTCATATAGTAGCTAATAAATATTCATAGAAAAATTAAACCATTTTACAAATTTCTGCTAAGAACATAAGTCATTTATTCACTAGCGTAGTGTTAGGTAATAGATAACCAATAAATTCTGCTACACAAAGTGCAATAGATTAAAGTTATTATGTCCACCATCCAGCAGGATGCCTAAATGAAGACGGTACACAATATGCAACATTTCTAATTATAAAATACTCACACTGATTTATGTTGTGATCGTTACCTATTTCATTAATTTTCAGATATTTTTACAGCAAAAAGCTCTAATATTCTTACAGCTCTTAATGACAGCAGCAGGAGTAAACCCAACATAGATATTTCAGATTAACAATTGTATTCACATTATAGCAATACTCCCTATATTCCAAAACTACCTATCGCAAAGACAAGTAATTTAAAATAAAATATTACTCTCTAATTCATCATGATAAGATTCAGAGAGGAAGAGAAGAAAAACAGCAAAATGAAGCAGTTTATAAAAATTTAGAATAACTGTTACTCAGTAAGTGAACTGGACAGGCAGTTGAAAATGAAAGATAAATTACTATATTATGAAAATTTATTGAGGCACACTATAAATCATTGTAACATTTCATTAACCATTTCTGATAAGTAAATGAACATTTGACCCAAGATATCTCTTTAAAGTGCATGAATTTGTCGATCTTCCCTTGCCAAAAAAGGGTTATCTTGAGTTTAGACAACTTCAATGACTCAGAATATAATTCATTTTGTTAAAGATATACTTAATGGAGTGTCACCTTGCAGAAGTTCTACCTTTAAAATCCTGCTAAAACTGAGCTTTGTGATAAGAAATAAAAGCTTCTTCAGTAACAGGGTATGTGTTTCAGCAAACCAACAAGAGTTCTTCATAACCCAACGTAACTGTTACCCCAATCCTTATGGTTTATAATAGGCAAAAAAGAAACTACTATGGCATTCTTGAAATAAGCAGCTTCTAAAATAGCACATTTCAAACTAACAATTATTCTGTAAAACTAATTCTCACATATTGACTGCTAACTGTCCCTCATTTATTGTATCAAAAAAAAAAATGAAGATCCCAACATCACAAGAATACAAATATATCTTAATTGGTGCCCCATATTATTAAAAATAAAACTGTATAAACATCCCTTGCTAAAATTTTCTAAAACATTACCAAAACCAACAGATACTTCCTAACTGCTATCAAATATATCTGATTTTGCAACCTTGCTAGTACCTATCAGCTAAGAGGGAGGAATAGAGGTATAACTACGGCCTCCTAACATATATCTTCATGTGATGACCAGACTCAACTCCTGAAAAACATTCCTGGGGTATTGCATAGAAATTCTTCTAAGTCCACACTACTGCATAGATACCTGTTTTCAAACGGCACTTGCTGAAGTACACTGCAGCAGAGCAGGTAAAGCTGCAGCTTGTAATGCTAACATCCCATATGGGCACTGGTTCAGGTTTGGCTGCTCCCTTGCTGACCCAGCAAACCATAAGAAAATGACCCAAATGCTTGGGGCCTGGCACTAAGAGGGGAGATGTGGTTCCTGCCTTCAGCATGGTCCTACCCTGCTTCTGAGGGCATCTGGGGAATAAACTGGCAGAGGGAAGATCTCTATCTCACCGTCTCTCTCTCTCTCCAATTCTGCCTTTCAAACTTATAGATAAATATTTTTTTAAATCATTTATTGTCTTATGTCATCCATAACAGCAATTATCATACTTCGGTTTACTTTTGTCTCTAAACTCTTGGAGAACAGTGATTATCTTCTGATCTCTGCATTATCAGCAAACAGCAGGTAGTCCTGTGCACTGAAGCTACTCAAGAGTACGCTACATGAATCAATTCTGGCCTTTTTTTCACAGAAAACTATAGCTACAACTCAACAAAAATGGTTTTATTGATCTATTGCTCATATCAAGTTAGGATAGTTTTTCATGACTTTATCCATTCTAGGCTAGAAATGTATCTGTTACAAGGTAAATAACCCAGTATGATATCCATTTCAAAACACTTAGATATTTACAAAGCCAGGGCTTTTATTAATCTACTAATGCTATCAGTGATGGAGAGGACTTTCGCCCCACAAATAAAAAGACACACTAGAAATTAGACTATCCATTATTGATAACTGTAAGAAACATATACACTGATTTAACCACAAATATCAGAACAGGCAGGAAGGGCAGATTGAAAAGCCACACAGAAACTTCAATTACTTACCATGGAAAAGTGACAATACTCATCTGAAGCAGATACTTTTTCCAGAATCAATGTTGATATTAATTATTCATCAAATAAAATCATTTATTTACCTAAAAATTCAGTCTCCAAATAAAGCTTCCTGGAAATAGTAGTAACAGCAATGGTGGGAATTAAGATACAAAAATAATAACCCACAAAAGAATGACAGAGGAAGCAGGTATTTAGCTTGTAATTAGTAAAGGAACCCATGTCCACATCAGAATGCCTGAATGTGTCTGCCAGTTCTGGCTCCAGACTCCACCTTCCTGCAACCCTGCAGGACAGTAGTGATGGCTCAAGTACTGAAGGGTCTGTCCCCACATACTAGGCCTGGCCCTGCCCTGCTCCCAGCAGTCACAGGCTCTAGAGCAGTAAACCAGTAGAACAGAATGAACTCTCCCTCTTTCTCTCTCTGCCTGTCAAATACATGTTAAAAAACAAACAAACAAAAAAACAATGGGTGCAAGGTTCATGAGTCCCAGGGGCGGGGCATCCAGCGGGTCCTGGGTTGCCTGGCCTGGGTCCAGAGACCCACACGCAAGGTGGGTGTATGAGCCATGGGGGTGGGGAAGCTGGTAGGGCTTGGGTCACCTAGCCTTGGTCCTTGGATCTGCATGCATGCAGGCAAAAAACGTGGAACAGTGCACATAGACCCTGATGCACATGGGGAATATGGTAGCTCATCTGGTATTGTAGAAGAACAACAGAGCAAACTGGACAACTAGTCCAGCAAATAAGGACAGCAAAAATGGAGACTTGTGGTCAACTATGTCAGTCAATGGACACTGGGAGGGATGACTCACCCCCAGATCAGCAAAATCAGCATCTCAGAACTAACCAAACCAATTGGTTATAACCCTCAAAACATGCACTACATTGGGACCCTGGGTTGACATCGGATGATTTTCCGATTCCTGAGTACAGGGATAATTGGAAGACTGGGAGTGACTTCCCCCTTTAACTCTCCTTTTCCCCAGAGACAACAACAGAGAATTTGAAAGCTAAATAAACAAATACATAAATAAATAAGAATAATAATTATGGTAAATATTCAAAAGAAAAATACATCTATATTCTTTACTTGCCATATCTCATTTTTTACAAGAAATCATTTATTAAGTTTTTCCTACAGCTAATGCTTGATGATATTTTCTCTGAAAAGTATCCAAGGCAAATCATCTCCACCACACATACAGCAGTTATTCTTAAATCATATGCGCATGCTTTGTAAGTGTATTTATTTGTGTTTACTACTGAAAACTATAAAACTAAATTACCAAAATAAATACAGAACAGGTCCTACGCCAATTCACTTTCGAAACTGCCTCCTCTTATCAAGACTCATCAAAAATGACGCACTTAGAAACACAAAAAGAATGAGTCATTTTCAAGAATTAAGGGATTATTATCATTACAACATAAAATATGTAGATGTTACCTGCTGTGTATACTTCTGTATTTCATCCAGAACAAATTCTACTTCTTTTGATGTTGTTAAGGAAGCAAGATTTCCACTAAGATTGTAGCAATAAAGTTTTGCATTATCATAGCTTTCTCTGCTGGAATTGATTCTAAGGCAAGCATCCCCAACATGATTCCATCCTTCTCCACAAAGATGAGCTAGACAAAAAGACAAAATAAAAAATAAGTGTCTATCTATAGCTATATGTGTGTGTGCATCATTTTTAGATCACAAAACAGCATTTGTATTTTTAAGTTAATTCAGAATTTGAAACAGAACTCCAATTTTTATTTAAATCGCTTTTAAAAGTATGTTTAGAAGTTTCTCATTACTATCCCAAAGCAATTTGTCTAATTCTTAGGTGGAGAAATGAACAAAACACAATATGTCTCTTCAGTTTTTAAGCTGGAACTATGGTTCTATTAAATCTGTGAAAATGTGTTGGCTATTAACATTTTCCATGTAAAGGTGTATTCATATGTGATACCGCTCAAAGCAAAATTATTCTTATTGCCCATATCCCAAAGTCCAGATTGCAAAGACAAGAACACTTTAACAGAAGAACAACAGCTAGGTAAGAAAAAGTAGTTTCAAATTTCTTCCTATGAGATAACCAATCTTCAAAATTAGTTTCTATATCCCAAGTCCACTGTCTCAATTGGAGTAGGGTTCATAGATTTTTTAATTATTAGTGTAAATAAAAAGCACCTCATTTCATTTGTGTTTAATAAAGAAACATTACAGTGCAATTTTTATTTTTTTATACAAATTATTCAAAACTTAATAAAGGTTAAATGTGATATTCAATAATAGTTCATTCATAGTGCTGAAATTAAGCAATTTTCTAATTGCAGGTTTATGAAGGCATTGTAAAGTTAGACTTTAGTGTTCGTTAATTAAAATGCAGTGTCTTACTATAGATTCTGGTCTATGCGGTTGAGCTACACCTTAGTTTTCCTATCACATTAAATATAGAGTGCTGGCTGCTGGCATACATGAGAGCCTCAGAAGCCTTATGACAGCCCGCACGGGAGGATTCTAACAGCATTCTCAAACACGCTCGCCTTCAACTCTTAAGTATTACTGACAGTCCTATAAATCTTCACTGTATGAATATTTAATGATGTGATCCTATTAAAAATAAAACATTAGTTTTTAAAAATATATTTGCTTATTCATTTAAAGCAATATTTTAAATCCCATTACAAATGTGCTCTTCCACCTGCTGGAATGTACTGCTCCTTTGTTCTATATAAACAGATCTGACAGAGACATATTCTCACATCCCCTCCACCAAGAGAAGACAGCTAAGGAGCTAAGGGTGCCTATTAGGTCCCTGCCATTTTAACATTAGATGGATTAATGAATGAACAGCAGATGGCAAAGACAATCATTGAGGATAAAGCAAATAGTGACTACAGTTGTGAAATCCAGGGTATGAATATCAGCTATACTCTAATTATTCCATACTTTTGAAATTTTTGTAATGTAATATCAGGGAGAAATACTACAACTTACCATAAATTGCATATTTTGTTTCAAAAACTTAGAACTCTGAGCCCAGCATGGTCGCCTAGTGGCTAAAGTTTTTGCCTTACATACACTGGAATCCCATATGGGTGCCGGTTCTAATCCTGGCAGCCCACTTTCCATCCAGCTCCCTGCTTGTGGCCTGGGAAAGCAGTCAAGGACGGCCCAAAGCCTTGGTACCCTGCACCCATGTGAAATACCCAGAAGAAGCTCCTGGCTCCTGGCTTTGGATCAGCTCAGCTCTGGCCGTTGTAGCCATTTGGGGAGTGAATTATCGGAGAGATGATCCTCTTCTCTGTCTCTCTTCTCTTTGTGTATCTGACTTTCCAATGAAAGTAAATAACTAACTAAATACATATTAAAAAAAAACCCTTAGAACTCTAAATAAAAATTAACTGGTATGGCACTGTTTTACATTTTTGTCTTAATCTCTTCTTTAATACCTAGGACTACATGAAAACTGTATTTTCAATCTACCGGATACAACCAAAGGCAATTTTATTATCATTTTCCCAAACTTCCACTGGCAAACAAATTCCTTTCTTATAAATTAACGTTCCTTGAAGCATATACATTGCTTCAGGGAAATCTTATTTGGGGTCAGGATACACAGTGTCTTTTTACAAGTAAGTACCATCAGTATCTACATGATAACTTTATAACTAAACTCTTAGAAACCCATTTCTCTCTTTTAGAGTCATCTGTTATTTCTCACCCCTCCCTACCAAGTTAACGTGTTCTAATTTAGTCAAAGTAAACACATACGCACATATCACTATTTAAAATCTTTTTCAGTCAGTTTATTAACAAAATTCAAAACATCAATAAAAATTCCCAAACACTAATGATAACTTTAAAAGCAGTCTAATTTGTTTATATTGCATGGATTTGCAAGAAAGATTCACTTGTAAAGTGTACTTATTAATATAAAGAATGGTTCGTAGATATAACAGCAATTGTCTTCTTCCCTTTCTTTTTCCTTCCTTACTTCCTTGCTGCTTCTTTTTTTCTTTCTTCACTAGTTTGAAAGATTCACTTTCAGAACAAATTCTATGATGCCATTTTTTCTAATAATATTTGGGATTACATAGTGTAGCAAACTTTTCTATGAAAAAACAAACTTACTGGAGAGAGACCAAGAACCCATCAGAAATGATCCTTGGTAACCAGTTACAACCCTGACACTAAGAAGCTTTCAGTTTCTGAGCAACAGGCTTTTAAGATTCTAAACTATAAAAAAAAAAAAGAAAAGTTTTTAAAAATAATTCTTTTAAAATAAGCTAAGTAAAACATGGGTTTGTACAATTCAAATTCTTACAAAACTAGGAAATAATCACTGAATTCCTGAAATAAAGGACACTCAAAATATATCAAATATAACATAATATTACTATTTTCTAGAACCAGATTGTCTTAGTAACTTATCCTCAAGTATTTAAAACATCTCTTTACAAGTAAAAAGATACTGGAAAAAGTGATGTATGCAAGATGTAAGAAATTATGACCATCCGAAAAGCACTGGAAGCAAATGAACCGTTGTAATTCCCACGTAGCGAATATGCTGTTATTACTTCTGTAATATGGTGTGGTACTTCTTTTTGCTTTAATTTAAGAAAATGTAATATTCTTACTGACTGCACTTTGTAAAGGCATTCATCTGCAGAGCAGAGAGCTCACGGATGGCACTTCAAGACCGTTACCTGGTAAAGCCTGGCACTCCTGTTGCCGCTGATCCCACTGGCAGTTTAGGTTTAGTGAGCAGCTTTTACAGCTGGTAAGTTTGTTGCAGATCTGCTCATTTCTCACATGACACTTGGTGTAGTTTTTGACAGACTAGAAAATTGAAAGATAAAATGTATTATTTTTTGCTACTGTACACCCAATAACTCTTGCACTTCAGAGTGTTTTTAAATCTCCTATTAAGCTTAATGTTACATATTTTCATTTCAAATCCAATCTACTGAACTGAAAGGTATTTCTATTTCATACGTTTGCAAAATTAAATTTGACCTAAAATATCCTCCACACAAAACGAACTTAAAATGTAATCAAGCCACAACCTAAGTTTTTGCAAACAGCTGAGTCTCAGCCACACTGCCAAGAATCACACCATGCAGAAATATGACCGTAAGCCTTCGCGAATCAAGCTGTGTCCATCACCTCTTTGTCATGTGTACAGATATTGCCTGACCATAGACTCCTGTGAACTTCTACTGGAACAAGGTGCTCCCTGATTAAAGAGCTTTCCTTTGGGCCCAGTGTGATGGCCTAGTGGCTAAATCCTCACCTTGTAAGTGCCAGGATCCCATATGGACACTGGTCCATGTCCCAGCTGCTCCACTTCCCATCCAGCCCCGTTAGTGGCCTGGGAAAGCAGTCAAGGACAGCCCAAAGACTTGGCACCCTGCACCCATGTGGAAGACCAGGAAGAAGCTCATCTTCCCAATAAAAACAATTTTTTTTAATAAAAGGATGTTTCCTTTGTTTAAATAAACTCTACATAACTTAATTTGTTTAAAGTTTTTTTTTAATAAATTGAACTATTTCTCAGAACTGGAATGAGTGCTTACTAAAAGAAAAGTACAAGTCATACCATCTGCTACAGAAATCATCAAGCAAAACCTTCTCTACTGAACTTGAACAGGCTTGGGATTCAATAAGTAAAGTCAATGTGAAAAGGCATTTTTACTTACTAACAAAATGAGATTATTCTACTCATATGAAAACTATCCCAAAAATCTTTTGGAGGAACACCTAATAAAGTTAAAGAGATGCTTTATAAAAATCTAGCACACTATTAAAAGAAAAACTGTTGTTATAACAATCCAAACTAACTTTACTTCCATAGTCAGTAGTTTTAGTTAATTGGTTTTTCTCCCATGTTTTTATCACATTTCCTTTAAGATTCAGCATTGCTACAAAGAACTTGGAAATATTAGTGTTGTTTTACTCCACTACATAATGTAATCATATTATAACTAATTCTAGCACTGACTGAGAGGTTAAAGGTCAGTCAAGAAAGAAGAGAATGGGAGGCGTACTGACATTTTCAACTCAACTCTTCATTTGACTCTATTTATGATAAAAAAATTTTCAAAGAAACTTAATGTTGTACTCAGTGCCCCATTCCAATTTTTTTATGGGTATATATCCATCTCAGGCCTTCTCATGTAAAGGAGTTAAACGTTTATTCCCAATTTATAAGCCTGAAAGTTAAAATTAAGTTATAATTGCACAACATATACAAACCACTTGGATAATTTTTATACACTTACTTTGAAATGTCATCCAGCAAATATTCCTTTATATAGCACTATACTATCCTTTATGAAATACATCAAATCACCTCAATTCAAAAAGTGTTAATTTTTCTAACACAAATCAAATTTATTATTAGGTTACAGATATAAACAAATTTATTATTAGGTTACCATTATCCCTTAAAAATAAAAAAATATATATTTTTGCACTCAGAATTCATTGTGACTATTATTCAACCATTACATTTTCTTTGAAAATACCTAAGCTTCCTACTTGTTTTTATGTAATTCAAATATTCCTGTTTATATACAATATAAATCTTAGCACTATTCTATATACTCAATGTAGTACCAAACATTTGCCAGCTACCTGAGAAAATCCATATTTATTTAGATTATTGGGATTACTGGATAAATAAAGTAACATAAAATTAACAAGGGATTGACTAAATACTGAAAAATGAGAACAACTTAATGTCAATGTTCAGAGTAACAATGATAATAATAGAACCACATTCAATTAAACCTGCTTAGCATTCATTACAACAGTCATTTATTGATACTCAGCAAGCATAAAGATCAAACTATGTCACTTGCACACAAGGCCAAGTTCATCAGTGATGAAGGAAAGATGATTGTTATTCTAAAACATATCTGGCTTTTCTGGACTAATGAACCAGATGTGTTTCAGTAAGCATACTATCAAGAGTATCTATTCCTCTGCTCATCTGAATTCTAACATATTTAAATTAATCATAAGGGAAAATCTTTGAAAAGCAATCAGAGCACAAAATATACAACTTGAAATAACCATGGCTAAAAAATGAAAAGGGATATCTCAATGTACATAATTTGTACTAAAAATCTCACAGAACACTCTATATCCAACAACATTTAGTGTAATCACCAGATATTTTGATAAGCTGTCTAAAAGACACAGAACATCAAATTCTAAATTACAAGTGAGTACCATGTGTTCATTTACACTACTGTACTGAATGAGTTTCTGCTAATATATCATCAAAAGCAAAAGCAGGGCCCGGCACAATGGCACAGTGGTTAAGGTCCTCGCCTTGCACGCCTGGGATCCCATATGGGCGCCGGTTCTATCCAGGCAGCCCCGCTTCCCTTCCAGCTCCCTGCCTGTGGCCCGGGAAAGCAGTCGAGGACGGCCCAAAGCCTTGGGACCCTGCACCCGCATGGGAGACCCAGAAGAGGCTCCTGGCTTCGGATTGGCTCAGCTCCAGACATTGCGGCCGCCTGGGGAGTGAATCATTGGACGGAAGATCTTCCTCTCTGTCTCTCCTCTCTGTATATCTGCCTTTCCAATAAAAATTTTAAAAATTAAAAAAAAAGCAAAAGAACACTTATATAATGAACACTTGATATGATTTACATAATGCAACTTTTAAAATGTTTTTAACCTAAGTGCATGAATTCCCACATATGCTAATGTTTGACATGGAGTTAAAGTGTCCACAAAGTTCCTACATTGAAACCCGATCCTTAATATCAGGGTATTAGGAAGTGATGTGCTGGATAGATAGTGGCTCAGTGAAATAGGAGACAGTAAAAGACCAACTTATGAGAGCGAGGCAGTGGTGTAGTGTGCTAATCCTCCACCTGCAGTGCCAGTATTCCATATGGGTATCAGTTTGTGTCCCACTTGTTCCACTTCTGCTCTAAGTCCTTGCTTTTGGCCTGAGGAAGCAAAGGTAAACAGTTAAAGAACTTGGCCCCTGCACCAACAACGGAGGATCTGAAGAAACTCCTGGATCAATCCTCACTTTGGATCAGCCCAGCTCTGGCCTTTGCAGCCACCAAGGGAGTGAACCAGCAGATGAAAGATCTCTCTCTCTCTCTCTCTCTCTCATTCATTCCTCTCTCTCCCTCTCTCTCTCTCTCTCCCTCCCTCCTTCTCCTTCTCTTCATCATTCTCTCTCTGCCTTTCAAGTAAAAATTAATATTAAAAAAAGAAACATAAAAAGACCAGCTATGAAGTAAACGTTAAGGATGTCACAACTATTACATGACAATAAAAAAGGGCACCGATAAACCATGATTAAGCAGCCAGACACCACACAGAGAAGCAAAACCAGTATTCACCAGGTTGAGCAGGCATCTTCAGTGCTGACCAATCTGTGCTTAATCAGAGCAGCAAGAAACACACCTCGGAAGGAACTTAAGGTGATAGTGAAATACAATGCATGTTACTCCAACGTTGCAATCAGACACAAATACCTACACTACAGTAACGGATCCTCCAGTGGGTAAAGCATGCTACTCAGAACTAGAAACATCGAATAGAAGAATCTGCTTCAGCTGCTGGGAACACAGCTGCACATTTTCTGAGCTTGGCCACTAACCTTTGCTGTCAGTAGGTCCTTTCCACTAGTCTCTATGTACAGCCCTCCGAGGTTTTCCAAGGCCCAACACAGAGGCTGAGCCCCTCAGCAGCCCTAACGGTGGGGCTTCCAGAAAGCGATTTGCTCACAAGGCTAGAGTCCTCATACAGGGAATTGGTGCCATCACATGGGCTGTATAGACCACAGCTCTCCTTCTATCACGTGTGGAAGAACTGAGAACAAACCTGCAATGGAACACCAAGTGGATTCTGGCCAGACACCAAATCCACAAATGCCTTAAACTTAAACTTCCTTGTGCCCCCTTTACAGTGAGAAATAGATTTTCTTGTTTAGAAGCAACTCAGTATATGATGTTATGTTATGGAAGCCTGAACAGGTTATGGCAATGTCTATACATTAAAAAGCTAAAATAAAATCTGTTCCTAAATTTTGACTACAATTGTTCTCTATTTTGATCCTGCATGGTTAATCACATGTGGCAATACGACTAACACACAAGAGTGCCCTGTCATTGGGCCAAACAGTATTTCTGAGTATATCTGTGAGGATATTTCTATGTGAGGTTAGCACATGAATAACTAGCCTGAGTAAAGCAGAATGCACAATGCCCTTGCCAGTGTAGGTGAGTATCGTTCTCTCAAAGGCCTAAATAAGATGAAACGGCCATGGGAGAAGGGTTCTCTTTTCCTGACGGTTGAACTCAGGACTTGAGGCTTCCTCTGCCAATCAGCTGTGCCCCCGCACTCCTGGGTCATCAGGCCCCCAGACTCAGACTGGAACCTACATCACTGCTTTTCCTGTCTCATCAATCTGCAGACAAGGAATTCTACAGTTCCACAACTGAATAACCCAACTTTTTAAACAAAATTCAGGATGGGTGAATGAAAGCATAGACAAATACACAGACAATAAGTAACAGAAAGACTAGATAAATACATACATAGACACATACATACACAGACAGAAGGATGGATCTTCTCCTGGGTTTTGTTTCTCTGGGGAACTCTGACTCTAACAAATTTCTGCAGGTTTGAGAATAAGTTTGCTCCCTATTTGGATTTAACGATGTAACACCTGGTAAAACGCAAGCAACAACTCAAAATCTGCATACCATATGATCCAGCAATAGTACTCCTAGGAATATATCCAAAACACCTGTTTCACGAGAAACCAACATGCACCCCTATGTTCATAGCAGCACAATCAG